TAGCTTTTAGTTAATAAAAAGGAGTTAGAATAGCAGCAGCACACTGGTTGGCCATTTGTGCGTTCACATGTATGCCTATGTTTGTGTTTTGATTTCAAAAATCATAATGAAAACATACCACAGTTTTGAACTCAGTTTGGAGTTATTGTTTTATTTTTATAATTTTGATTTTAATTGAATTTTTGTGCATTTCATGAAATACATCCTAATCATATGTAGAACTCCTTCCCTATCTGTCCCCTATCATAGTCTCCCCGTTGGATTCCAGCTGTTCTGTCATATATGCTAAAAATCTATCAAGTCAAGTTTTTATCCCCAGATGTCCATCAGTGAGTTCATCCACTGGAGCATGATCAACCAAATCTAGGGTCACCCCCTTAAAGAAGATCAATTCCCCCTCACCCAGAAGTGATCAGTTGTCAATAATTCCTCAGCTAAGGTTGGGGCTTTTTACCAAATTTCCAAGTTCAATGGTGGGCCTTTGTGTAAGTTAAGTTTGCATGGGTCTTCTGCATCCTGTCACCATTGTGATTTCATATGAGCAAGTTCCCAGGCACCCAGATAACTCTGTTTCCTTGTGGTCATAAATACTTCTTTTTGAAACATTATTGAAAATGTCATGATATTTGCACGCTCTGTCAGCAGTAAGAACAAACTCCAATGTATTTACATTATTTCTTTGCCCTAGATATATGATGCCAATAACAAGAGATATGAGGTTCCAGTACCACTGAACATTCCAGACACTCCAACAAGTTCTTATGAAAACAGACTTTATGACGTTGAAATCAAGGAAAATCCTTTTGGCATCCAAGTTCGACGCAGAAGCAGTGGAAAGCTCATGTGAGTGATTAAATTGTTTGACATGAAGGATAACAATTTTAGTTTGAATTGTGTTAAATATTTTCATCAATTTTAACATTTTTAAGCAATTATGTAACCATGAGACCATCATAAAGAATGCAGATAAATTTTTATTTACACTATTCACGTGATTAACTTTTAAAAATATATTAAATTCAATCTTCTAGTAACGTAGATAACCATACCAAGATTCAGCTTTAGATACATGATGAGTGTTGGTAAAATAAGCAATTAGGAATGAGATGAAATAAATTTTTAAAACTGTTGCAAGTATTATGAGATCTGTAATCTTACACATATTGATGAATATAAACTAAGACAAAATCTATATTGGTAGAGTAAATGAATTTTCTTAAAATATCACTATGTTTATTTTAGCCAACTGCACCACAGTAAAATGCATTCCTATCTGTTTCCAGCTCACTGGGCCTTCTTCTAAAAACTCAGGATGCTTTCCCTTATTGGTAATAAGGATGAAAATACATAAGAAAACCCTGAGCATACTGACTTAATAATAACTTTATTGTAATAAACCTTAGTTCAAAAGGATGTAGAGTATAGTTATTTGTAAAAAGAACATTTGTGTGGGAAGGGGAGGCATTGCCCTTTATTAAGCTGCCCTCAGATAAGTCATGAAAAGCTTCGACTATGTCTCAAATTTTTTTGTGATACTTGTTTCTTCTTGCCATTCTCACGATTTTTTTCTCCTTTTTTTCCTCACAAGTAGCTCACGTAACAATTCATTCATTTTAAAAAGACACTTTTTCATAAATGCTATTAGAAATATAAGAAAGAAAACGAATCTATTAATTGGAGAGAAATATAATTGAAATATTCATTATGATTATAGTTCATTAGCATATTTATTTCTATAATTTATACAAGTTAAAAATAAAATTATGAGTATCCCCAAAAGAGAGAAAAATGACTGATATTTCTTTTTCATAGTAGAAGTCAAGGAATTATTATTCTTTGATCAATTTCACCTTTAAAGCCACACTTGTCAAACAAGAGCACCAAGCTCATGTCACTCATTTCGTTTTTCCCTCAGGGATACCTGAAACACATTTTATGTATAGTCATTTACACAGCCAAAAGAAATTTAAACGAATTAGAATAGCTATGTATTTTATTTGGTGCCTGGATACACTTAGGAATACATGTAAAATTATTTCTTTTTTTGATCATCAAAGGATTACTATTATGATATGTGATATTACTTTATATATACAGAAAAAATATTTGCTTTCAGGGAAAGAATTGTATTATTATTTTTGTGTGTGCTATTCTGTACCTATTTTACTGAAATAGCCTTGTTTCCTTTTGTTTTCAGTTGGGATTCTCGCCTGCCTGGGTTTGCATTCAATGACCAGTTCATTCAGATATCTTCCCGACTGCCATCCCAATATCTATATGGTTTTGGGGAAGCAGAACACACAGCATTCAAGCGAGATTTGAACTGGCACACTTGGGGCATGTTTTCGAGAGATCAGCCTCCTGGTGTAGGTATCAACTTGTGGTTACCTCATAAGGCAGCTAAGATGGTGGAGCAGAATCTAAGCCACATCTTGCAGGATGATAATTCAGAATTGTAATGCATAAATAATGTAAAGGGGGCTAGAGATTTGCAGAGCTGGTAAAATGATTTTCTAAGAAAGAAAAAAAAAGAAAAAACTCCAGAAATCACAGAAAAAGTAAAAATAATTGAGTGTATTAAAAAGGCATCTTGTTGATCTAATTTATTTTTTCTTTGAGTTACTTTTTCCTTCTTTTTTTTACATTTATCTATTTATTTAACTTGATTTTATTTTTAAAATTATTTTATGTTTTTATTTTTAACCCATTGAATCCAGTTAGTACTTCCCATGTACACATGACTCGGAGTCATCCACTGGGGAATGGCAATCCTGCCAGTACCTACAGACCTAAAGAAAGGTCTCTCTCCCTTCCCCAGCATCCCTAGCTGCCAAAGGATCCTCAGATACTCAGATTACTCCCTAATCTGTGCTGGAATTTCTTACTTACTTTGTATTTCACAGATATTTGATAGACAACCACAGCTCCTGTGAGTTCCAGCCTACAATAGCCCTGTCATATCCAGAGGGCGTCAGTTTACACATTCCTCCCCATCCTCCAGCTCTTTCATTCTACCTCCTCTCTCATAATGTTAGACAAGTTCTAGATAGGACAGGAGCTTGTTGATACAGATGCCCCACAGTCGATTATTCTTTTCACTATGTACAGTAATGCATCTCTGCATTAACCAGTATCCATTGCAATGAGAAACTTCTCTGACCAAGGCTGGTAACAACATAAATCTAAGGATATAAACATAAATATTTAGAAGGCAGTTTGACAACATGACCATTTAGATAAATAACATCAATAGGTTGTTCCCTAGGGCTTATAACTTGCCTAGGCATGGGTTCTGACCATGTAGGCAGTACTAGCCATGGATTCACTCGCATGAAGAAACCTTCACATCTAGCTTAAAAAACAGTGAGTTAACTCATGTATCTTCTTGCAACTATTTTACCAGTGCACATATCATGTCTGGCAAGTTAAAATTGCAGCATGCAGGGTCCAGCTGCGGAAAAGACTGACTGACACCTTTTCTCCCCAGCAGTCTACATAGCACCATCCAGTGCTGTGAAAGCTAACCAATTTCTTAACCTTTACAAATGCATAGAAAATCATACTAATTCATTATTCCTTGAAATAACTGCCAAAGTTTCTCGTATCAAACAGACACACACACACACACACACACACACACACACACACACACACATACACACACACACTTTTCAAATAATGATTTGATACTTTTCTTCTTATATAGCTCTATTTGTACATTTATGAGGTTAAACATCTTTTAAAACCTTCTTTTAAGTGCTTGGGCACATTCCTAGAGTTCTATATTGATACTAGAATAATAAATATTTTGTAATTCTTCCAAACATATCATGAATATGTACATTTAAAAATTTGTTCATTTTCGTTTTTCACATGTAACGACTACTTAAAAGAAACATTAACAAATGAAAAATAAGTTTAATATGGCACAAAGTTTTCATGGCAGTGTACTTAAGCAACCACTTCCTTATAATAAATGAAAGTGTTTGCATCAGTTTGAATGAATGCTATACCAAGATTAATTTCTTAATAACTATTCACATTAATATACTGATTATTTGATTAATTTGGTTACGGTTCTCAATTTATAAGGTTGTTTTCACTTGCCAATAAGTTATTGAAATTCAAGTTTGGAATAGTGAGTTAAACGTGGATTTATCAGCATGAAAGATTTAAGTTTTGTAAACATTATCTTCTTGGTAGTCAGATTACTTATATCACTATGATTACTTCCAGGACATTTTATTACAGGAAAGTGTTAATTGACAAATAAATGCAGCTAAACTGTGGAAAGAAACGTAACAAGCAATTACTCTAACATCAGGGCACTCAGTCTTAATGAATTTAAACAGCATTGATATAATTCATATGCTATTGTTACTAAATATGCATTGTGCTATTTTAATTTCAGTATAAGTTTAATTCCTACGGAGTTCATCCCTATTACATGGCTTTGGAAGATGAAGGCAATGCTCACGGAGTCTTGCTTCTGAACAGCAATGCAATGGGTAATGTTGAAGTTCTCAAATAAAATAGATGAATGTGAACCATTAACAAATACAGATCTCATATACAGATAAAAATGAAATCTTGTTTTGAATTTCCAGATGTTACATTCCAGCCAACTCCTGCTCTAACATACCGCACAATTGGCGGAATCTTGGATTTTTACATGTTTTTGGGCCCAACTCCAGAAGTTGCAACAATGCAGTATCATGAAGTATGATTCCATATTTAAATTAAAAACCCATGACATTTTTGTAGTTAATATAAATACTTCTCTTAACTCACGACATTTCTTAAAGGTGATTGGCTACCCAGTCATGCCACCTTACTGGGCCCTAGGATTCCAATTATGTCGTTATGGATACAGAAACACTTCAGAGATTGAGGAACTGTATAATGGCATGGTGGCTGCTCAGATCCCTTATGTAAGTACATCAGGGAATCACGGAGTCTGTACAAGCAGAATGAAATGGTTAAACATTGCTTTCTTTAGAATTATATTAAAAATTTGGAAATATGCCTAGGTTTTGAAAGAGCCCTATGAATTGGATGTGAGATTTTTAAATATCTTTACAAGTTGATAAGCCAGAAGTTACAATATCCCTCCTTTTCCAACTCTACTTTCAATACTATGATCCTGAATCAAAGCAAATCTCCATCCACTTATAATTAATAGAATTAACATTTAGACTATATAAACAACTGAAAAACTAAACATTTAAAGAACATGAAATCCAATTGATAGATGAGCAAAAGAAATGAACACAAAGTTCTGCAAAGGAGTAAATGCGTGAGTATCAACAGTCTTAAACGTCAGAGAAATGCAGTAAGACATTGAGGTTCCATTTGATAGATGCCAGAGAGGTTGGACAGCAACAGCAACTTTCATATATATACAGTTTGTGGGAATATAAATTAGTAGAACAACTATGGAAATCATCATTCCTCAAAGATCAAAAATGGAACTCTTATATGATCAAGATATATCACTTCTCGGTATACATCTGAATGAAGCAAAGTCAGCATATGATAAAGACACCTGCACACCCGTACTTATTTTGACACTTCACAATAGCCAACTTGGAATCTGTCTATATGTTCATCAATGAATAAATAAACAAAATGCAATATAAATATACAATAGCGCATACTTCAGCTACAAAGTAAGATAAGATCATATCTCCTTCAGGAAAATGTATGGCATTGAAGATCAATAGTTTTGTTAGGGGAAATAAGAATCAGAAGGATAATTATTGAACATTTACTTGAAAGTAAAAGGCAGGCTTTTTTGGAAAAGGAAGGAATTCAGAGGGAGATAAGTGTGGATAATGTGATGTTGAATATAACCAAAGTACATTGCATACATGTATTAAAATATCAAAATGAAAACCATTAACTATAATTATGATATGCTAATAGAAATTGGAAAAATTCTGTCAATTCTAATCTGACTGCAGTACAAAATAGGAAATTGAATACAGCTTTTCACACTGACTCCCATTTGTCTTTCCCACTACTGTGAAATATTCTTTTTAGTTTTTATTATTGGTTTTTTAAAACAGGTATTGCTTGTAGGTCAGGTTAGCTCCAGCTCTAAAGCACACTTATCAAATCACCACTACTCTCCTATGTTACAGGATGTTCAATACACAGACATTAATTATATGGAGAGGCAACTTGACTTCACAATTGGTGAAAATTTCCGTACTCTTCCTCAGTTTGTTGAAAAAATAAGAAAAGAAGGAATGAAATACATCATTATCCTGGTCAGTATTTATTTTGATTGGAGTCACATTGTTTCTTTTTATTCTTTTAAAATGCATGTAGAAAAAGTGTCTGAAAGGAAGGAAAATGTAATTTTGAATTATAATTCCAAGTTCTAATTTTTTCCCATTAACATTTCATTTTATATATTTAAGCTACCACCAGCTACCTTGAACTTAGGTATAACAATGATCATGCAAGTTCTTAAGACAGGGGTTAAATGCAAATTATTTTCTAGGTACCACCGGAGTTACAAACTGGCTTTGGTCTAGACGTATTACACAGTGATAGTAGATTTCCTGTCCCTATGAAATTTTCAGGTGTTCTTTTGAATTTCTTCTGATTTTTTCCTCATTTAAAATTTGCCTTCCTTTGGGTTAAAGAAAAAAAAACTCAGTGGAAGGAATGACTACTTTATCAATGTTATATAGGGAGAAAGCTAGATAATCAGAAATTTTATCAGACAAAAACAGTGAACACCAGATTGGCGTAGTGCACTATGGCCCAGATCTCCCGGACTCCAGCGATCCTCCTGCCTCAGCCTTCTGTGTAGTTGGGACTATAAGGACGTGCCACTGCGCTGGCAGACAGACAAAAACAAAACCAAAAAACCCTAAATAAACTTGCTTTGATTCAGAGCAGATTCTTAGGAGAATTTCTTAGAATTTTGTTATAGAGCCACTGTCTTTACAGTTTCTCCAAATGGGAACACATGTTATGATAATTCAATAGAAGTAAATAACAAGGCCCCACAAAGGTCATCAAGGGGCTGCAGATGCCTTGGATTCACACTTTGCTTATATTTTATTTTCATTTTAGGATCCAGCAATTTCAGGAAATGAGACAAAGCCTTATCCTGCCTATAGCAGAGGAATAGAGAAAGATGTGTTTGTCAAATGGCCTGGCACAGATGATATTTGTTGGGCAAAGGTACTCAATAAATATTTAAAAATAAGATAATTCTGAAAATCCCAGTTCTTTCAATCACGGAACATGTTAAATCATATTCAGAGGCAAAAGCAATGAAAAATGTGATGATTTAATAACTAAAATCTAACATGTACTCTGTTGAAATTTAGATTTCTAGACATAAGAAATTATTATGATTTATAAAGTCAAATGCTACTTGTTTTACAATTATATTTCATTGTTATTATTTTTCATATATATTATGTTTTATAATAAAGTTTTCAATAGTGGATCTGTTGATTATGATACTATATTTGAAAGAGGCTTGAGTGTGCTTTTCTTAAAAATATCTTACTGACAAAATGACTAAAGGTCTTTTTATATTTTTTGAGAGTTACACTTATATTGCTAAGGTGAACAAGAAATATCATTCACTAAATGATATTAAGATCTGAGTGTAGTATAATAATATATTGATTTAGTTTTCTTATAAACTATTCTAGAAAAATTCAATAACAGCATTTAAAATAGAATAAAATCTACTCAATCGTATGATGAGACACACAACTGAATAATAATTGAGGGGTTCTTTTTTATCAAAATTAGGGTATTAATGATAAAGTGGCAAAATTAAAGCACAGTCTGTAATTACATTGCATCAATGATACTTCTTTAGATTTAATAATCACACTGGGGTCTAGAATATGTTAACATTTGGGGAACATGGAAGAAAGGAATTCTAGATGCAAATTGTTTCAAATGCTATGAATTTAAAATCATTACAAAATGAAATAAGAAAGGTCTGGCTAAAAGTATTATTGATCCAGGGATCTTAAAGCTAGATTATGTATCTATTAATATATCACCATTTACATTACAATCAAACCATACTGAACTCATTTCGAAGTGTTATATGATTTCATTTATTCTTTCCACAGGTTTGGCCAGATTTACCTAATGTAACAATAGATGAAACCATTACAGAAGATGAAGCTGTTAATGTAAGTTTTACATTGCTTGACTTTATAACTGCAAGAAATTCAGAATTTGGAATTAAATATATTAACGTATAATCGAATACTTTCACTTAAAATATAGGAAATTTAATTTTAAACATTTTCTATTAGATTATATTTAATCACATTTACTTAATTTTTCCCAAACAAAAATAATTGGTTTTGGTTTTTTTGAGACTGGGTCTCTCTGTAGCCCCAGCTGTCCTGGATGGAACTCATAGACCAGTCTGGCCTTGGTCTCACGGAAATCCACTTGCTTCTGCATCTCTAGTGCTGAGATTAGAGATATGTGCTTCACTCTAAACAAAAAAATTTATAAATAACTTGATGAACATGTCTTGTGTTATTTTCCTGAGATAATGATTTTTAAGAGTTTCCTCATCTTGTTAACACTTAATATGAGGTCTCGTCAATGAATTTTATATGTACTATGATGTCTGATATCTCATATCAGTGGAAGGATGAATTGTCTTTCCTTCTGTGACTACCTTATTTTACTCAGCATATTTTTGAGGTTCATTCTTGAAAATGAAATGAATAAATGATGATTTGTGTGAGCAATGATTTGAAAAGGAAGGACTGTGGTTCTCATCTCAGAGGAAATAGATTTTAAGTCACAAGTGTCATAAAAGACAAAGTGTTTTTTTCAGTAATGATAAGAGGTTAATCTATCTGGGGGTATAAGTATTATAAACATATGTGTATGTGGGTGTAACTATTATAAAAATGTATGTGTTCAATATTAGAGTCCCTAAATACATGCAACAATAACAGAACTAAAAGACAAGCTAGATAGTATTGCAGTCAGAGTTCAAGTCCTTCAGTTCCCTCATTCCAATAACGACTGCCCAGCCAGAGAGAAGATGATCAAGAAGCAACAGACTTGAACAATACATAAAATGGACATATCAAACATGTATGGGACATTATTCCAAGGCATCACAATACACATTTTTTCCTTAAATGTACATGTGTTCCACACTGTCCAAAATTTGTAGGTGGGAAGAATGAAGCTATAAAGTAGGAAAACATGAAAGAAAAAATATGGACCCCATGAAGAAAGAAACAAAATTAATAGCTGAAAATAATTTTGTCAGACTGTAATTGTTAGCGCATATAAGTTCATGTAAGTTTAAAAATTTAAGGGAGGGGTTGGGGATTTAGCTCAGTGGTAGAGTGCTTACTTAACATGCGCAAAGCATTGGGTTCAGTCCTCAGCTCTGGGGAAAAAAAAAAAAAAAGACCCAAGAATTCTTTAGGAAAAGTTTACACTTACCCAAACTATTTTAAAGTAGAATCAAAGGACTAAAGATCTGAACTATGTTGTTGCCAAAAAGTGTCAGTTTCATCTCAGTATGCATAGCAGCAGTAAGCCTGCAGAGGAAGGCTTAACTTTCATGTCAACGATGACAATTAGCTTCCATTTATGAACAGTGACTCGTGGAATTTCTCAGAATCTTGTTCTGCAACAGGTATAAATAGTGTTGATCATATGTAACAGGTAAAATTTCTGGATACAAGCAATACTTTATAGTATTAAAGAGACCAAAAACTCATCTAAAAAAATAGAGGGTCTGGAAAGATAGCTCAGTGGTTAAGAGCACTGGCTGCACTTGCAGAGGACCCGAATTCAATTTCCAGCACCCACATGGCAACTAACAGCTGTCTGTAGCTCCAGTTTCAGCGGATTCAATGCCCTCTTCTCACCTCCGCAGGCATTGCAAGATTCAGGGGTGCATATATATGCAGGCAATACGCTCATACACTAAAAATAATAAAGTACTAAAAAAGAAATAGAATACATAAGCAAATGTATGATGTATGGAAAACATCAAGTAGAATTTAAGAAACCATATGTGGTGTTTTCTTCTTTCTTATTTTCAATGTGATATGGAGGAAATCATAGCACAGAAAGTAGATCGAATATAACGCCACTAAGCTCTCAGTATTTCTGAGTAAAAGGCAGTGTTGGGCAAACATGATAACATTCAGTTTTAGCTTTTCAAATGTTCATGATATTTTTTCCTCAATGTATTTTTATTGATTTTAATGAATTTTATACAATATATCCCAATTATATTCAGGGGCCCTCCCCCATCTAAACCCCCCCAATCCCTCCACCTGATTTCACGCCTTCTTGTCATACATGTTAAGCCCTATTAAGTTTGTTCATCCAGATGTTCCTCAGTGCAAGTTCATCCACTGGAGTCTTGTCAGCGTATCTGTAGTCACTCCCTTAAAGATCAACCCTCCTCACCCAGCAGTAATCACCTGCCAGTAGTTCTCTGGCTATGATTGGAGCCTGCTGCCCATTTCCCCAGCTCTTTGCTGGCTTTTTGTCTGATTGAATTTGTGTGTGTTAACACCATTGCTGTAAGTTCATGTGAATAAGTTCCCAAAGACAGGAAAGACTGTTTTCTTATGTTTATGCACCAACCCTAGCTCTTGAAATCTTTCTATCTCCTCTTCTGCAATGGTCTATTAGACACAGGTGGGTGAGGTTTAATATAGGAGACCTATCCAGGAACACACACTCTGCAGTCTTTTATTCTCTATTCTTTGGGCAGTTGTGGCCTGTATTGAGCACTCTCTGTTGCATGAGCCAGTGGCGAGAGTTAAGAAATGCATTAGTATTCTCTCTACCGCCTGTTCTGCTATGTTCCATGAGATATAGAACAGTTCCATGAGGTATAGAGAGTCCACTGTAGATGTGTCACTTAGGACTGGGTATCTCAGGGACACTTTTTCTCTGTGTCTGACAAGTTATGTAACTCTGTAATAGTTTCCATCTGTTGCAAAAAGAAGCTTCTTGGATAAGTGGTGAATAGTACACTTGTCTGTAAATATGAGGATCCATATTTAGCATACAGTACTAAATTACATTTGTCTAGGGATATGACAGGTATTTTAAAAACCTCTGTATTCCCTAATTTTTCAATGCCTGTATATATCATTCTTGTGTCTTCTCCATGAAGAATCGGGCCATTACTGCCAGGCATCAGAATGTTCCATGACAGCACTGACACTGTGTACAGTTCATGAAGATTTTCTAATAGATGAAGTGACATGTTAATCGCTGGCACACATTGATTTTGACCTAGGTCATAATATATAGTTAGAGAATGGAAAAAAACCCCACTACATTGAGAAGGGTCTATATGAAGAAAGGAAATGCTGATTGGCATGTTGGGAGAATGTATTGGCTGTTTGAAATTAGAAATGTAGATAAACACATTTATGCTATTTTAATTTTTAAACAAATTGTGTTTATTAATTTATGGCTCTGATTTTTTTTATACTGGACCTCACTATGTATCACAGGCTGTCCTCAAACTCACCATCCTCTAGCCTTTAGTACTCATGGTGCTGGGGTAATAGTGAGTACTTCCTTGAACAGATACACATTTTAGTTACAGAAACTGGCTACACTACAGGTATTATCTTCTTCTACCCTAGTTCACAAGATTAACTCAAATATATTTATATAATTAATGCTGGGATCAGTTTGCTATCATTATCACTCAGGCATGACTTGTGAATCGGACAACAAACTTGTTTCATATATCAATGTTCTTGTCAGTGAACTTTTATAGATGAATATGAGTCTCAATTCTGTTCTCATAGGCTTCCAGAGCACATGTGGCTTTTCCAGATTTCTTCAAGAATTCTACAGCAGAGTGGTGGGCAAGGGAAATTATAGATTTCTACAATGACCAGATGAAGTTTGATGGCTTGTGGATTGTACGTAAGCTTTGAACAATTTATCTTTAAGATTATTCTGTAATGATTTTTGCAAAATTCTTGCTCTACTCTATTAATGCTTATTTGGCATTCTTTGTGAAGGCTTTGTGAAGGCCTTTCACAGTGAACATTCTTATGCAAAGGAGAGTTAAATATATTTCATTAACAGTTAAATATATATGTATGAATGCTAATTCCTGGGTATTTTTAATTTGACCAAGCAACCAAAGTAGCCAGTTTTTATAATTATAAATAAAAATGTGTAAACCACTTATTTTATTTTTATTCAATGTAGGAATAAATTACATTCAAATGATACTTTCTTAAAATGTAATGCTGTCTTTCAGTGAAATTCTTATCTTAGGTAAATTTTGTTAAGGTTTTGAACTGTTTAGTTCTGAGAGAATATAAATGAATTTACTCCTCTATGAGTAAATCTTTCACATACACAGTTTTCCTGGCTTTGTAGAGTGACAATGCTTATTTTGGTGGTTTTGCACAAGAATACATTTATTTTTTCAGGTTGTTAACTAAAGAAATATTTATATATGTGTAAACCTGGAAGATACAAAATTGCATAATGCATATTATAAAATTAATAGGAAGATAGATTTATTTGGCACTCAAATTTATGTATGATACAAAATTCATCTAAGTATATCCCTGATAATAATACCTTGATCAGAGAGGACAATTTGTTCTCAGGTGGAACATATCATTTCATGGTAGCTGCTTAGATCCCTGTGCATCTTTACATGATTAATGAGACTCTGGCCCATGTGCTCAAGGAGTTCCTTGAAGTTTTTCTCCATTTTAAAACTACATCCTGTATTTTAAAATATGAAACACTTGATTCAAGGTAGAGCAAGAGGGGAAATAGGTGGTAAGACACACCATTATAAATTCTATCCTGGAA